GTTTAAGGTGGGTATGGGATAATCACATTGAAAAATCAATTTTTCTGAGAATTTTTCGTATAAAAATACAACTTCTTAGAAATATTTTCCCAAAACCTCAGGTCATTTGAAGTAAAACTCATTAAGATAATGAGCTATGCACTGCGCCCCTTTTGAACCGGCCGAGAGCGGCAGGCAGGTAGCCGGAGCAGCTGCTTCCTTGCCCTTCAAATTTTATTGCCTTTGTAAATTGTTGTCCTTTGTAAGTGTCATGACAGAACGCGAGCCTACGTCAAAAAAATACGTAGCAATCGCTGACCTCGTGTCATCACCCCTTCGCTGTTGCCGCTGCTGGAAGCGCGTCTTTCATTTACGTACTTCAACATGAGACGTACATAGTTTTTGATTTTTTTCGCATTGACGCACCAAACCTAAAAATCTGAAAAAATTCATGAACAATTCTTGCGGCAATAAGAATCTATCATAAAAATATGGACAGTGTATCCGAACGATTTCTATGTGAACAAAAATATGTTTAGCACCTTCTTATTTTTCACGGTTACATTTTGTAACAAAAAAATCTGAAATAATTCTCAGATGTGTCCAGTTATGCTACGGACGTGTTGGAATTTTTTCAGATGAATAAACAACAAAGAAAAAAAGAGTGGATTGTCTGGGTTTCGAACACACGGAGCCTCGAAGACTCCGAGTCTCGAAGCGTCGAAGATTCCGAGCCTCGAGGAGTGAATTTAGAATTCGCTTGCCTGACAGCCAGCACGCACACACGCACGTACTGCGTCACTCGACACGCGCCCCTTCTTTTAGGAGATGCACGAAGCCGGCCGCGAGATGGAGCGCTTGTAGACGAATACCCTAGGCACGAGCATGGCAAATCTTATACGTATATTTTCAGCTCTGTACGGCGTGTCCACTTCTTGAGGGGAGTAGTGCACAGTCCCTCCTAAACTACGTCTATTTCCCCTTAAATAATGGACATTGACACTAGGGTGCGGTAGTGAGCCCTGTCCACTTTCGAACAAAGAAATGAGCAATCTCCCTTTTCATCTCTGGTTTTGGCCTGGCTCCCCTCCTCTATTTATATTATCTCTATGGTTGTCCCGCGCACGACTTCAAACCGTCGGTTTCAAACGTGTGACCAACGACCAAACGACCGAGGCACGTGTTCAACAGAGGATCCACGATCAAGATCAAGAATGCCGCGTGCGGTGAGAGAATCGGACGAAGAGATCGACACCAAACCCGGTACGTATTTCTCTCGACTCGCTTCGAGCAAAAAAAGAGCCGGCGTCGACGGTTTCGTTGGGAAATAGGAAACGTCCTATAGTTCTACGAATTCTTCTGTCGCGCGACCGTTAGCGTTACAAATTCTATGCGAGATTGACCGAGTTAAATGCGACGAATTATAATGTAATGATCGAATCGAAATTTACGGTGCTACCGGAATAGAAATCTTTGAGATCGTGAGATAACAAAGAGTATCATAATTTTCCACAGTTTTCCTCCGTTATTTAATTCTCCGAGGTTAGGCGGTCGACAAACTCCCAGTTCTTGCTTAGCTTTTTATGTACGGCGGGATACGTTTTAATCCGCCCAGAGCAGTTTGTGTTACTCACGATCGTACGGTGAATTTGTCAATTCTGCGAAAAATCAAATCTAATGATATTCTGTGCAACTTTAGTATTTTTTCTCGTCAAAATCATGCGTGCCTCGAAGAGGTAACGATTTCGTAGTTTCTGGTGACACCGCATGATACGAAGAACATCATTGTACATTTTTTGATACCTTGAAAAAATGTAATGAAATTGCACAGAGCAACCTAATCGTTTTTAACACCTTATGTATCTCAGGACGTCGGCTTCGCAACTTAACCGAAACGGTAGACCCTGGCCGCCGCCGCAGTACTAGATTAGAAATGAACAAGCAAGAATCCTCTCCAGAGGTATCGCCGACCAACTCCAGTATCCAAACGCGAGCCAAGCGTCGTACAATCGGACAACAAGTAAATGATAACGTGAAGTCGTTGAGGCCTCGACTGAATTCAATTTCCTCCGATGTCAGCGAGAAGGATGACACGCCTAAAACGCGAGCGAAGAATGCTGCGAGTGCTGTTAACAGTCGAAGAAGCTCTAGATTGACGAGAGCCAGTTCGGAGGTAAATACACCATCGCCGGTTACAAGGACGATGCGTCGAACTAGGGCAAATTCAATGGAACCGGAGAGCAGGATTGATAATCAGAAGGGAAAGAAGGTGCCTCTGACTTTTCCTTCGGAAGCGACGGTGGTTGAGGAGATGGAAGAGACGATGATGAATCCTGTGGTATCGTTGGAACGCACATTGGCCGTGCAGGTTAAAAGCAAGACCTCTTTAATGACTAAACGTCGAGGAGCACAGAGTCCTTTAGAAGAAGATAGAGGAGTGGAGGACGAGAACTTGGTGGGAGATAAAGGTACATGATGGAAATTTAGACAGATTTAGATCGAGGATTTATGAAGGTTTCTTGTATGTTGAACAGAATTTGTTTGATTAGAATAAGAGTTATTGTAATTTTAAGGGAAGAGCTGTGAAACTGAATAATTGTTATAGTAGTTGATGGGTTTTTAATTGCTATTAACGAATTGGTGAAGATAGGTTTATAAAACGTCAGGGACAGTTAAATAAGACTCTTCAGAAGGTTTCTTATAAATTTCATTCAATTTCGTGTCTTAGAATCCAAACTGCAATAATTTCAAGTAGACAATCTAATTAAAAACTAAATAATTGTTATAGCACTTGGCTTTTTAATTACTATTAATGAACCGGTTCAGATATCTTAATGTAACTTGAGAGGCATTTAACACTAGAAAGACTGAAACTTAGTATATACCTGTATTGTGTAAAGAAATTTGTCTAAAATTAATTTTTAATATTTTTTATATTAT